GTGAAGGTGTGTTTGTTTGTTTGTGTGTGAAGGTTTGTTTGTTTGTTTGTGTTTGTGTGTGAAGGTTTGTTTGTTTGTTTGTTTGTGTTTGTGTGTGAAGGTTTGTTTGTTTGTTTGTTTGTGTTTGTGTGTGAAGGTTTGTTTGTTTGTGTTTGTGTTTGTGTGTGAAGGTTTGTTTGTTTGTGTTTGTGTTTGTGTGTGAAGGTTTGTTTGTTTGTTTGTGTTTGTGTGTGAAGGTTTGTTTGTTTGTGTTTGTGTGTGAAGGTTTGTTTGTTTGTTTGTGTTTGTGTGTGAAGGTTTGTTTGTTTGTTTGTTTGATGTTGTCCCCGTTTTTATTTTAGTTACTCAGATGTTTAAAATTTAAATGACTTTGATCATAAGAAAGTTATGTTATAAAATAGTTTGCAGATTCAGAAATAATTTTTACAAAAAATGATATTTGAGTATAGTTATTTCTTGAGGCCGGAGGCTGAATATAAATGGAGATCAGCTGATTTGTTAGGTATAATGTAAAAAAAAATTTAACTTACAAATAGAAATATAAAAATATTAGCTAAGCTGAAAAAATCCCTTTTCTGAAAAGTATTTAAGAGATTATTTAAATAATTAATTACTGCTTGGATAAAAAAGATTTCGAATAGATATATAAATGTTGTTTTTTTTTGTTTTAATTGGCGAAAATGTTCCAACGACAATTCTTTCAAAATGTTTTCAAATACTCCTTTAAACAATCCATTTCAAAAATTCTCAGCAACAAAAACATATTCATCCGCTCCCACCGATGTCAGTTTCGATTTCACGCGATTGCACGTAACCACGCTTCGCAACAACCTCCAACAAAATAGCAACCTCCTAGCTGACAACATGAACGTGGCCTTCAGGGAAACATACATCTGGACATGCAGATTCACAAACAGGCATACAGACAAACCATTGGATGCAGTGGCCAACATCAACCTCTGCTACCTTCTCTTCACGTGCTTCATGCTCTTCCTTTTGTTTTACGTCAGAATTGACCAGGACAGCATCGTCCTCTATTCAGCTAGCCACATTGTGGCCGTATTCGCAGTGATATTCACCTCAACGCTTTTGACCAGTCTACTGCAGTTGTTTTATAGATCTGTTTCGCTAAAGACAGGCTGTTTCATAAAGAATTTTGAGTACATATACTACCCTGGTAGGAATAACCGGAGGATTATACAGCAGCAGATGTCAAACAATGCGAAAATGATGAGCCAGAATGCTTCTAATGTTAATTGCGATGAATGGTCAGGATCAGCTGCGGTTGATGATGAAGATGAAGAAGATGGTAGTGCTGTTAGTGATAATGGTGATAGTGTGGGTTAAGCTGATCATATTAAAAAGATGTATAGAGAGAATTACAGCAATGATAGTGG